GATTTAATTTTTTTGTTTACACGTATTATTAACCAGAGCTTCGCTTTTAGCCTTGGCTAAATCTATATATTATTTAGTACATACTGCAACCAAACCGAAAGGGTGTTCGAATGAGACATTCTATCTTGCTCACCTCGTGAGGTGCTTATTCGGTACCTTAGGCGTCGCGATCGATGTCATGTGTAAACGCTCTACAGAGTTATTGGACTGGCCCCAGTGGTTGTTAAAACGTTAGATAGCGCTATCCTCCGGATAAATCACAATACAGCGGATAATTACTTAGGGAATTCGCTGGGCGTAGTTATCTAACTTTTGAACAACCAGGGCCTGTGTCATTCGTCCTTCTCTCACCAGGTCGGGGGCAGAAGAGGAATCATTTGAATCTTGATATTCGTGATTCCTGCCGTTTTTGCCCCAGTGATTCATGATTCTTGCAAGAATTTTCTTTCACATTCATTACTCACGAAGACTTTTGATCACCTATTGACTTAAAAGTTATATTACTATTTGTAAAACTAAAGGCACCAGGGCAGTACCCGACAAACAGAAAGCGTCAGTCTAAGAGCTGGTTGTAGAAAACTCAACATATAATTCATCTTTTAATATTAACAAGATTTCTCTGTTCGAAAAGGAAAATACTGTTTTCACGGACTCAAAAGATCGTCAAGTAAAACATTACTATCCAAATAACAAAGCTGTGACTCTTAGAACTGGATGTGGCCAAAAAGAATTTCGAGGGTTCAAAGAAATCAGCAATCTTTCTTTTAAGTACATGGAATTTGTACTTAAGAGAAATCATTTTTGTAACTGATGTTGGAGTTCTAACTATTGAGACTTTTTTAATAGAAAGGCTGGTTTAAACACGAGCTTCGTCTTTCTGAAGTAGTTTAGGCAGTTTCATTTCTTAAAACCCTGGGATGTCTTTGTGAGGCTTTTGAAATGAGCGAAAATGGTACGTCTGGGAAAAAGGTAACATTCAGAGGGGACGCGAAAGAGGATGTCGACAAAATCTGTATCGAGGTACAAACAACTTCTGACAACGCAGGTGGACAACCTACATGAGGTTTCTCACTTCAACAGAAAACGTTTAGTGCTTTGAACTACGCCCAAGACTTTGGAACCACAGTGAATTAAGGGAATCGCTAAAAAGAGCTACGAGTACGAAGTGGGCTACACTCAAGAAAAGTCGAATTGTCCCGTGTCAAATACTTCCATGCCTTTGTCAGGACTCTCAACTATGTCTCGATCTTCCATCGGTGCAAACAGTGATTGAATTCACCAATTGAATTCCGAAAATAATGGTCCAGTTTTTTTTTTATTTAAGACTATATTTTGGCACTGATAATGTTTCTCGTCGTCTGTGGCAATGGATTGAAACCAACCGTCTGGACATACAGTCAACAAGATACCAGAGCATACAAGACCAGGACATACAGCAACCAGATACGTACAAGACTGAATCCGTTCAGATAATGAAAGTGCCGAAGAAGGTGACTTTGAAGTAGTTTATTGCAGGACATGCATGACCATATCGGGAAGATCAATACGAGATCATGACTGGTGCGTCTGGATCTATGAGGCTGGTGTATACTGATGGTTATCACGCAACGCGTAAATATAACTGACTGGTTCCTCTTGCCGGATCTCTAATCAAATAGATGCTGTAGCCAGACGTCACTTAAAGTGTGAAGTAAAACAAAACTGAATGCAGGGCTGGCTCTACGGCAAAGGGCTGATTTATTATAGGCCAATATTTCGGCTAACAAAATTAGCCTTCTTCAGAGCCAGAACCATACTGAGAGAAAATATCTTTTAACGGCTCCTAAAATTTGAATTTAAAATTCACATACGTGGTTAATAATTAATTATTAAGATTATTAATACTAGATAGAATAATATACAGCTAAATGATTATACAAAAAGGAGAGTACCTCATAGATGGAGGTAGTGCAAGTCCTGCATTCAGTTTTGTTTTAAGAAATTGTGCTAGTGAGAGTTCATGTAAATTTATACCTTGATTTTAGCATGGGCTACTCCCAAAAGTGATTGACTTGCTGAAAGAAGGAAAATTCGGGTTATGATGGAATAACATTCGCTGTTGGAACGGTGAAAGTTAATAGCTAACCAAAATTAGCAGTTAACTGAGAACTGACCAAAAAATAGCAGTTAACTGATATTTGGCCGAAAAAATGGTAGTTAACTGAGAATTCGGTAACCCCATTAGCACCCTCCACTCGCAGAGTGATGCATCAACGGTTATCATCATACGTTAGTTCACAGTATCTGTCTTTTCATTAGCTGACAGCCCTCAGTTAATTTTGGAAATCAGAGCAACCTACAGATTAGTTAGTTACCTCCTGGGACTAAACTGACTTATCTGCGAGTTACGCGCGCAATGTATGATTTCTAAGAGCACTGTCAAACTTTCTCCTTGCCACTGTGTGTTTGTCGTCATTTTCTTCGTATCAAAATATAATAAAACAATTATTAGATTCACAAAACCTCATCCAATAATTGTTTATAATTATTGTTTTATTATTATTATTATTATTATTATTATTATCATTATCATTATTATCAATATTATTATTATTATTATTATTGTTGTTGTTCCTAAGTTATTTTATCAGTTTTCTTATTGAAAAATTACACAGCCAGCGATATTGAAGCTGGTTTCTTCATTGGCTGCGGGTAACAATAGGTTGTCTATGTATTAAGGAATCCACGGAACACCCTCCTTTGAGGTTTGCTTTCCTCTCCTCTCTAGATCTCCTGTATGAATTATCGATCCGTCACTGCCTGTCTTCTATGGCTAAGAAAATAACTGACTTTTTTTTGTGTTTCGCTTACTTTTCAAATTATAGTGAACAGTAAAAACAACTCACATAAAATTCAATTATCATGCCATTCATTCAGTCATTAAACTTTGATGGCCGACCATTTTAACTCTTGAGGGGTGGGGGTTGGGGTTATTTCTGGTCATCAAGAATTTTTTCTAGCAATCTGTTGGGCAGGATATTATTCGAAAGCGAGTCTTCGATCGACCAGGACAACATTTTCGCGATTTCAACGCCAATCGTCAAGGGTACGAGTTGAAATTTACGCGATTAAACCTCCCATCATCAAGGTGTTTTCGATAAGAAAAGAAAAAAAACTGAACTCTAGCTGTGCTCGGCAAAAAATGGCGAACTCCCGGGAACTCCGAATAGAAAAATCTATCGGAAATCACGGCCCGCAACCAGACGCTACTAAAACCTTATGAAAAAGCTACACCTAAACAAAAAAGAATCATGAAGGAAAGAAATATTTTGGCTTAGGTCGCCTTTCGTGACTTGCCAGTATCCCGAAGGATTTTGTAGGTTAACAAGCCACCCTAAACCACGAGTGGGAAAACTCAAGCGCGACAAATTTGGCAACGTTCTGATTTCAACGTTCTTCAGAGGAAGCAAATCGATTAAAAATCGATACAGATTTTGTACAATCTGATTGGTCGGCTTGGAAGAAGAGATAATCGATAAAGATTTTACGCAATCCTATTGCTGGCTTTGCAATTTTTGGCTACAACCGAACCGGATTTTTACCGTGGCAGTGCCACAGGCATCCCACGGAACAATAGCAATGGTGATCTTTTCACGTGTGAAGATAACATGTTGTTTTCACCTATGAAGATATCATGTTTTCTCGTGAAAGCTCAATTTCATTGGTGTTTACGTAATTATACTGTGGTATCCACGCACGCAAAAGTTGTTTGTTTGGAAATGCTATTACTTGTTTGACCATATAAATAAAAATAATGAAGGTTAATTTTCACTCTTACAAATAAAGGTATCTGCTGTCAAGTAATTGAGCCCAGCTACTAACGGACACCCTGGACAAGTCCACCTGGGGATGGATGGTTAAAGGTAGAATAGAATCATGGGTAACCATCATCAATGTTTCAGTGGACACTAGCAACGCCAGCACTGACGATGTTTTAAAATTTTCTTTTCCTAGATGGACGGGTCTGCAGTGCTTTATTCTCCCGAATACTTTCTAGTTGAACTTGGACTAGAGACGAGGGGCGACCTGTACGCTCTACGTTCATTTTGTGAACGAAAAGAAAAGCAGACAAAAAGCAAAGATGCTGAAGAACGAAAGCAGTCCTTAATTGACAAAATAAGGTGCAAGAAAGTAAAGCACTCAAGTGGCCATGAGTCGCAGAAGAAAAATACGCCCTCTAGCTCCTATGGTAAACCGCGAAAATTTGAGTTAGGCTGGCAGCATTTCTCAGAAGTCCAGAAAAGGTTTGTTGCTGTTCGACAGTCCAGAGGAGGGGGGACAAGGTCTGTATCGATGTCAGGCAACAGTACCATTTCCGACATTCTAGAGGAAGTTCGGAACCTGTTTTTCCCTCAAGGAAAATCAGTATATGGAAATTGGATGGACATGGATTGCGAGTTAGCAAACTTTAAGGGTGAAGTGAAAACAAGCCTAACCTCCCATGAAGGTAATGTAATGGACTTCTCTCTTCAATCATACTTCGAACTCCACAAGCTCACTCGTGTCCGCCTGTATCTGAGGACGCGGCAAAGAGGAACATCATCCATCTCAGTTGAGGAGGGGGAACCGGAAGCCGAGTCGGAGACTCTTGGAATGCTTAAAGGAAGCTCGCGTGAAAGGGCCAAACTGAGAGAGGAACAAGACGGAGAGTATGTGGAAAGCCTGCGCGCGGACCGCGCGAAAACGGAGCGTAGGGAACAAGCCCTTAAGGAAGAATTAAATAAAGCAAGAAAGGTCGAAGAAATTCACGCCACTCGCTTGTCAAGAGTGTTAGACGAACCAACGGTAGATGAACCGCGTGTGGTTGTTCGTGTCCGCCACATCGACTTGGGCTTGGTCAATCGTGCGTTCAAACCCAACCAGAAGATGACGGCAGTGTACGATTGGATTGGCTCGCTGCAGCTTATTCCGCTGTACTTCTCGTTATCCAGCACACCAGGCAATGTGATAGACCCGTCTGTGTCTATAGACTGCTCAGCTGACAAAGTGTTGTTTATGGAGCAGAGGGATGATCCAATACCATTGTCAGCAGATGACGATGAAGTTTCCTTTAAAGGGTTTGGCGAAATTGGAGAGATTGGAATGACTCCACCAAGTCGTATTATGGCATGGGATATTGATACCGATGAAGAAGGATGTTCAGCGTAAGTCCGTAGTTAGGGATATTGTAAAATAAACTCCATCAAGTTAAGGATATGATAGAGCATGCTAGAACATTAACCATTTTATTCACCAACCAAATACAATTCAAAAACTGCGGACTGTGGGAACAAGATTGACTTCAGTGTAGGTCACAATGATTCATGCACCTTTGTAAGTAATATAAAGTGAACAAGGTTGGCAAATTTACATGCTGATGGGTATATACTGACTTTTAAGCAGTGTAAGAAAACCCTTTAATTTGTCTCACTTACCAATATCTCAAAGTTTACCATTCATATTATAATAATAATAATAATAATAATAATAATAATAATAATAATAATAATAAATAATATCACTCCCATTTGGTGACTGCGAACCTTTCCATTTACCTAAATTTGCAGCAGTGACATTTTGCCGTGGTATTTTTGTGACCAAGATGACGACAAAAAGGTCAGTGCAGTTTACATTGCTGTTATATTTCAGTGTTGAAGCTTCTTTATCGGTTTACACCTCTACTCCTGCATGTTTAGCCAATCAAAATTTATTGAAAGTCTCTTAATTAAGAACACTCTATGGTAGTTTAGAGGCAAGAGTTTTTGTTAAATTAGCTTGTACTACTATGCTGTCACACGACAGTTCTTGGTGGGATGACGCTTAGGATACTTATGCATGCAATCTACCCAATTTGCAGGAGCCGAGCGCTACTTGCACAAGGAAAAGCAGAAAGAGGACAATGGAAGACCGAGCGCGAAATTTTCGTCAGTACTACCTCCCAAAGTATTTGGAAGAAAAGGTCAGGGGAACTTAACTTTTGACTTTCTTTATTCTTTGCGACTATTTACAACATTTACATCCTAGCTATATGACGTTGACAGAAAATCTAGTACAATAAAATTGGGCCAGGAAACAACTGAAAAATGTACGTGCGCAGTATGATAAAATAATAGAGGAGTGTCCTTCACAGAAACCGGTTTCAACTAGAAAAATTAAACAAGTAGCTTCACTTTGCTTTTGACCTTTGCAAGTCTTTTTACTTAACACAAAACGCTACATGTATATATATATATATATTTGCTATATTCTCGCCGTGGGGTAATATTCTATGCGACGTGATTTGATGTTTTGGGAATATAAACTCCGCCCACTTCATACAACTGTTGTACACGCAGGAACGCAAGGAAGCCTTATCGGTTTAAGAAAATGACATATTACTTTTTTCTTTTTAGACCGACATTGGAGATCCAGGTGATGAGGAGTTGGCGGAGAGCAACAATGAACCCCTTACCTGCATGGGAATTACCAACAATCAGGGCTCCTCTGATAACGTGGTGATCATTGTCTCACTTACCCCCCAGTAATGATTCAAGTGTGGAAACGGAAGTAAGCCACAGCTTAGAATCACAGCAAACAAATCGCAGGTAAGGTCCTACCTTGGGCTTGATTGTAAATTGATTTAATTAATCACAGGCTTCTGTGAGCCAACTAATTCATGCTGTAAGCGTATTATTAATAGCCTGTACAACAGGCGTTATTGGGTCGGGGCGCTCAGGTGGAATTTCCAGCGCGCGCGCGATGCGTGAGACATGCGAGGAGAGGGGAAGGAAGTAGTTATGGTTATTGTTTTTCTTTTCCCTTCCCTCGCGTGTCTCGCGCTTTACGCGCTGCCCCAAAACCCACCTGAGTGCTGCCTGTTGTGCAGGCTATATTATTTAGAGTTGAACAGTTGCGGTTACTGCTAGTTATCTGATATCTTAGTACAACCGAGCCATTGACAGCATATAATCTTATCACAATGTCATAAATTAGGTTACGGTAATGAAATAACCCTGAATGTCTCTCTTTTTGTTTTGGTTTCACTGCAGGGTTGTAAAGATAAGAAGAGTTCAAGTTATGGCGGATATGATTAGCCTCTTTAAAGATGAAACTGTAATGGATACCCCACTCAACGTGGTCATGATTAATGCTTTTGGGAAAGAAGAGGACGGCGTGGATAACAATGGTGTTTTCCTTGACGCTCTTTCCTCATTTTGGGCCGCCTTCTATGAATCTTGTACAAATGGGGAAGAGGAGAGAGCTCCCGTCATAAGACACGACTTCCAAGTTTCAGAGTGGGAGTCAATAGGAAGAATAATTGTCAAAGGTTACAAGCAAGTGAAATTTTTCCCTGTCAGATTAAACAGAGCCTTTATGACAGCCAGTCTCTTCGGTGAAAGCGCCATAACCAATGAACTATTGACAGACTCATTCCTGGCCTATCTCAGTAAAGATGAAAGAGAATTGATCAAGCTCGCTCTGAATAAGGGATTGGATAAGGAACACGAGGAGGAATGGCTGGAACTGTTGGATCGGTTTGGGTGCAAGACCATTCCCAATGCGGAGCAAGTCGGAGATATCGTCTTGGAGATAGCCCATAAGGAGTTGGTCCAAACGCCAAGATACATCATCGACAGCTGGAGTACACCGTTACTTGTGCTTCAGCAAGAATTTCAGTCACCAGATCTGCTTCAGCAGTTCTTTGAAAGAGGAAAACCGACCACTAAGAAGGTGATAGCACTTTTAGATGCAAATGCTGAAACCAATGCTCAAAGGGAGACCATGTCCTACCTGAAGCAATATGTAAGTGGACTGGAGAGTGAGAAATTAACGAAGTTCCTCCGATTTTGCGCCGGTTCCAATATGATGTGCGTGGAGAAGATCACCATCTCATTCAACACTTTGGAGGGTGCCGTTAGACGACCTGTGGCACACACTTGCGGAGCAGTGCTGGATCTCCCTACTACATATGCATCCTTTCCTTTGTTCCGCGAAGAGTGGAACAGTGTCCTGTCGTCTGAGTATTGGGACATAGATTTCCTTTAGAAAAGTAAACTGCACCGCCTGTTTCTTTAATAGTGTGCACACTGACTAATACCACTCGTTGTGTTATTTTAAAGTAATTATTCTTGTACGTTTTGTTATAACATTCAGGAGGAGCGAACAATGCTCTAAATGTTTCAAAAGGTTTTGTTGTTGAGATAAATTTCACCACCTATAGAGCACATATTGCAACAGTTTCACCTCGAAATTTCTCATTTAAATGCCGCGAGTTGGAAGGTTCTGTAAACTGAAGACAACTAGCAGTCATTTCATCCACGACCGAGCTTGTTAGTGTCACGGGTCTATTCTTGCGATTTAGCGTCCCGAACTGCTTTTCATTTCTGATTTCAGAGAATTTGTGCTTTGCAAAACATTTTGTGGCGTCAAGTTAGGAATAGACCATGTCTCTCACAACTCAGGCTTAGTTAAATGAGTGCAAGTTTTCCTAACCTTAAATAACTTGTGGGATATTTAAAAAGCAAAATGGTAAACATAAGTTTGCAAAAGGTGAAGGGATTAGTCTCAAAAACGAAAAACATTTAAGTTTAGGTGCACTTTCATAGTTGATGTTTGCTTGTAGTTTGAATCAGTTACTTTGGTTAATGGTCATAATCCCCTTTTACTGTTTTGTCAGTGACAAGACTCAGTTCACGATAACAAGGAATGACTGCGTGAACTAGTTGTTCCTATTCTGCCGGAAATGTTACATGGATTGTAGTACATGTAGCTTTGAATTCCGCGTGTATACTCTTTTCCTTACACCAAGTTAACGATTTCTCATAATAAACAGAGTTAAAAGTTTTTCCATGATACTTAACGTCTTCTCTCAAATCAGTTAATTAACCATTGAAAATTGCTGAATCACTCCCTTTCTGAGATACATCTGGACCTCGATTTTCCGCTATTTTCCCCGGTTATCCTCGGTCTTTTAGCGAGAGTCTACTTAATCAAGTATTTTCAATATGGTAAACAAGATCCACAAAAAGGTCACGTGCTTCTTGAGCATTTGTAGGAATTTGTAAATGTTGCTCTTGCATTATTATGTCCACTAATTCTCTACACTCGTCTGAGCAATGAGTTGGGCTTGTTCTGTCACAGCATACATCTTCAATTATGTCAATATCATCAAGATCGACCTCTGTCATGTAATCCCTTGTATCTGTCCATGATGGCACGAAATAGAGTATATCTGGTCGGCCAGAAGGAGATTCTGCATTGTGGGAAGGTCTAATATTGTGCAGGTTCCATTGTTTTGCTACTGTGTGAAGCTCCTGTTGCATTAGGGGCATAAAACAAAATCTCAAGCAATCAACGTGAATTGGGTCATGGTCGCAGAAGACACCTTCATCTCTCATGTCCTTAAAAAAATCGATCCACCAGCTAGCGTTACTTTTCTTCAGAAATGACCACCAAGCTTCTATTCTCTGATTGCTTACCGACCTTCCGTACAGGAAACTTTTTTCTCCGGAGAATGCATCTTCAGTTCCTGACCGCAGAAATCGTTGTATACCTGCCACAGATATATTTTCTGTTCCCGCATCGGCTCGCACTATCCTCGGAACTCCACCTATTTGGCGAATACAGTCAGGGACCGGTCAAAAAGTATAGGGGGGGGGGGGCCGGAGCATTTGGAAATGTGGTTGATAAAACAAACATGACCCACCCCCTCCCTTCGGCACAAAAATGACTGACCCACCCCTAAAGCAAGGTTGGAAATTGCATGACCCACCCCCTAGTTAAAACATGGATGTTTGGTTTCCTCTTAATAATCCCATAAAACCTTGTTCTGTGCTTGACAAAATTTATTGATACACTGCCACAACCAATATCAAAATCACAGAAATCATACCTTTCACTGGAAAGACAAATGTGAAAAACCCAACATTCCTTGTTTTGATGGACGTTATGAGTCTTGATACGAATATACAGCAAAACGAGGGTATATTGAAATTGTCTGCCACAAAGCATAAGAAAATTTCTACAAAGACAACCCATTCCTACACATTACTTGCCGGAAATGCTTAGATTAATCGACCCTCAAAGAAAATTTCTTCCACTTCAATGGAAAGCACTACCTACAAAACCATGGAACTGCAATGGGCACGAAGAAAGCAGATTTGATTCCTTTGCCAATATTTTCATGACATATATTGAAACAACAACTCTAAGCAAAACTGTCTTTAGAACAACAGTTTGGAAATGCTACATGCACGATATCTTTGACCTATGGTACATGAGTAAAGCAGACATCGAAGCCTTCATTGAACAATAGTTGGGTGATGTAAGTCTTACATCACCCAACTATTGAATTCAAGGCCGAAACATTTGACACTGAGACTGCGTTTTTAGACACGGTTGTAGACAAAGGCACAAGATTCAAGGAAAAATCTATCCTTGATGAAAAGACACATTTTTAACAAAAGCAAACCTTCTTGCACACACATTTCACCTCGTGTCACCCTCCAAATGTTAAAAAAGGAGCCTTGAGAATCCTACGAAAAAACTTGTCAGAAATAACTTTTGAGGAAAATAATTCACATTTAAAAAACAACGCTTGATGGACGGAGGCTACCCACAATCTTTGATAGAAAACATACTATCAGAAATAAAATTCACGAAAGGGAGTCTAAACTCCTAAAACAAAACAACAAGGAGGAAAAAGAAATATTGCCATTCGTGACACAATACCAGCCCTCATTGTCTACTACAAAGGAAGCTTGAATGAAAAAATGGAATCTTATACAAAACCAACTGTAACCTCAATAAATTTTTAAAGAGCCACCAATCATTTCCTTACAAAAAAAGGAAAATCATTAAAGGACATGCCCGTAAGAGCCAAAAAAAAAAAAAGGTTAAGGGTTCCACTCCCGTATAGATGTGCGGCCTGTCACCCTTTTGCACTTTCTCGCACAAGAGGTTTGCGAGTATTTCAGCAATAATTCCAGCTGGCTGTGTTTTATATAACAAGTGTAGTCAACTGTCTCGTTAGTAGTTAGTGCCTATCTATGTAATAAAATAGAATGACCCACCCCCTAAGAGTAGCTGAAAATTGCAAGACCCACCCCTTGCACAAGGCTCAAAACCTCATGACCCACCCCTCTCTGCTCCGGCCCACCCCCCTATGCTTTTTGACCAGTCCCTCAGTAAAATAATTGGCAATTATTTTTGGATTGTTGTTTGTGCAACCAACTTCTAACCAAAGAATGCGTCTGCTATAACCATCTATGCCTCCATGTATACAAAACCCAAACGGTTTAAGTTTATCATAGCCATCTATGTGCCAAATATAGTTGGGCCCTTTTGCACGGTATTCTCTTCTCCTGAATCTCTTTGACGATCGTGCTTGTACTCCAACAGGGTCCAATTCTTTGATTATTTCTCGAACGATTTCCTTTTGGACAACGAGACCGTAGTCGTTCCTTAATCGCTGGTGCATTTGACGGTATCCAATTCGGTTTCCACTTCCCTCAAGTTCAGTTTCTATGGTATTAATAACTTGTTCGATATCACTGTGGTCTTTCCTTCTACGTAGACCCTCACGTCTCAAAATTCGTCTGAGCTGACGCAAGCTCAGTTGAATTCCATGAAAAGAGAGCAGAAAAGCCAATATCTCGGAGTACTGAAGACCAAGGCTAAAGTAATGTTTAATGAGGTCGGTCCTCTCCACAATTCCAATTTCCAATGTAAGAGGGTAATACAGCGCTGGATACTTGACATGCGACAAAAAGTATCAACAGTTCGATAGCAGACCTTAAATGGACCGCCATCTTGGCAACAACGCCGTAAACAACTGAGTGAAAAAAATGTTTGTCACTTTTTGGCGTGACTTATTATCGACTTATTATCGCGCGATAATTTGAATTTATCGCGCGATAATCTGGATTTATCGCGCGATAATTTTCAATTTATCGCGCGATAATTTGGATTTATCGCGCGGTATTGTCGATTTATCGCGCGATAATTTGGATTTATCGCGCGATAATTTTCAATTTATCGCGCGATATTTTCGATTTATCGCGCGATAATTTGGATTTATCGCGCGATAATTTGAATTTATCGCGCGATACTGTCGATTTATCGCGCGATAATTTGGATTTATCGCCCGGTAATTTTCAATTTATCGCGCGATAATCTGGATTTATCGCGCGATATTTTCGACTTATCGCGCGATAATTTGGATTTATCGCGCGATAATTCTCAATTTATCGCGCGATAAACTGTGTTTTTATCGCGCGATATAAAAATGTAAGTAGCGTGTCCTCTATGGGCCACCGTAATCTTCAGTGGTAATTCTGGGGTCCGTAGAGTTTCAGTCCGAGATTGATGATGTATGAAAAGTGGATATGTCCAGATCGATCTTGTTAGCAAAAATTTGTTGGCAAATTTTTTCGCAATTGCCGCAAAAGAAATAATTGAGAAAAATTATGTCAGAAAATCACTTACAAATGTCGCAAAAATAACAAATCTAACAAGAACCAAGACTTAGAAAAAAAAAAGGAAGCCAAGAAGGCCCCGAAATGTCGGCAAATATCGCAAAAATCGCAAAAGTAACAAGGATTTTTCTTGCTAGCTAAAACCACCCATGACGCGCAAAAATCGCAAAAATAAAAAATCTGACAAGAATCTGACTTAGAAAATCGGGCCCCGAAAAAATAACAAAAAAATCTAAAAGTAACAAGGATTTTTCTTGCTAAGAACTTGACGAAAAAGAAAATAAAAAAATCTGAAAGAATCCTTAAAAAAGAAGAAGGGGCCCCGAAATGTCCGCAAATACCGCAAAATCGCTAGCAAAACCACCCATGACTAACAAATCTAACAAGAAGCAAGACTTAGAAAAGAAGAAGCCAAGAAGGGTCCAAACGTCCTCAAATACCGCAAAAATCGTAAAAAATAGCTTAAATCAGAGGTTGTAAGTGAAGCAATCATGTTATGACATTTTGTATTTGTATGGCCTAGGTCTTTTGGTGTCTTTTCTCGGTGGTTTTGTTATAATTGTTCATGATTTATGAGTAATAGAACGAAGCACACATAAAATGCACAATCGGATCAATTGTTATTTAAAATAAATGGATTGGCATACACATATATAAATAACATTCATTGGGGTGGTTGTTGTTTAACTATAAGCCTTGATTTAAAAGGGAAGGATTACCAAATCACTGGCAATCCAGCTTTAAAAAACTTTGGGTATTGCACAACAACATTCATGCATAATGTCCGTTTTCCTTCCCCCAATGTGCTATTCTTGATATTTTGGAATGATTGTTATGGTAGGTTCTTCGACATTAAAAGTTCTGCTACCACCCCCTTTTATTGCTTAAAATTTACCCCCTTCTGTGGGCGACACTCCTTTCTATTAGCTGTATGTCGAAGGATTGATGGATGGATTGTCATATTTGTTACTAAATCTTCTCACATAGCAGTAAAATTCTTGTTACTTTCGGCAATCCCTGTTTAAAAAACTATGGGTATTGGACCGCAACATTCATGTATATATAATGCGCGGATCTTGGAACGATTGTTATGTTGGGTTCTTGGCCATGAAAAGTTCTGCTACCACCCCCTTTTATTGCTTAAAATTTGCCCCCTTCTGTGAGCGACACTCCTTTCTATGCATTGTAGCTGTATGTTGATAGAAGAACGAAGCATACACAGATTGATATTACAGTATTTTGCTACAGTCAGTAATTATAAATAGTGTCATGTTTGTAACTGATGATTTCATTTTCGCGGAAATGGAACGCATTACAAAATTACCGGACAAGAACGTATTCCAGTTGAGATAACCATTAGTATTAGGGAAAAACAGTGATGCGTGGGTGTTCTTGGCCCCTTTCTTGCCCTTCAACAATTCTTGCCTATTGTTGTTACTCCAGCCAACTTGTGGCATTTTGCCATATTTTGAGGCTCTCCTTGCCCTTTTCCCTTTCTAATTGTAGAATTCTGTTATTACATATATCACATAGCATGAAAATTTCTTGTTTAATACTTTGCGATTTTTGCGAAATTTGCGGACTTACTGAAGCCCTTCTTGTCCTTTCCTCTTTCCAAGTGTAGAATTTTGTGAAATTTGTTGCTCTTGCTATTTTTGCCATATTTGTTGCTCAATCTTTTCACACAGGAAGAAAAATTCTTGTTACTTTAACTTGAGATTTTTGGCAAATTTGCGGACATCTCGAAGCTATTCTTGACTTTTTCTCCTTCTAAGTGAACAATTTTGTGAAATTTATTGTTCTTGCTATTTTTGCCATATTTGTTGCTTAATCTTTTCACATAGCATGAAAAATTCTTGTTACGTTTCTGATTTTTGCGAAATTTGCGGACTTACTGAAGCCCTTCTTGACCTTTCCTCTTTCCAAGTGAACAATTTTGTGAAATTTGTTGTTCTTGCTATTTTTGCCATATTTGTTGCTCAGTCTTTTCACATAGGAAGAAAAATTCTTGCGAACTTTGCGGACATCTCGAAGCCCTTCTTCACCTTTTCTCTTTCTAAGTGTAGAATTTTGTGAAATTTGTTATTCGTGCTATTTTTGCCAGTATTTGTTGCTTAATCTTTTCACATAGCAGGAAAAACTCTTGTTACTTTTGCGATTTTTGCAAAATTTGCGGACTTCTCGAAGCCCTTGGTGTCCTTTTCTCTTTCTAAGTGTAGTATTTTGCTAAATTTGTTTTTCTTGCTATTTTTGTTACATTTGTTACCCAATCTTTTCACTTAGCAAGGAAAATTCTCGTTACTTTTGCGATTTTTGCGAAATTTGCGGTCTTCACGAAGCCCTTCTTGTTCTTCTCTCTTTGTAAAAGTAGAATTTTGAAAAATTTGTTATTCCTGCTATTTTTGCCATATTTGTTACTCAATCGTTTCATATAGCAAGAAGAATTCTTCTTACTTTTGCGATTTTTGCGACATTTGCTATTTCTTCTATACTTTTCTGATTGCGAAAACAATTTGCTAGCAAATTTTTGCTAACAAGATCGATCCTGGACATAAATGTGATTGCCCGTAAAATTTGTTCGACGATAGAAAGGAATCTTTAAAATTCATCACTGATATGACCACTGGACTTTTCATTCATTTTCATACTTAAGTCTAGTTTTTTATGACAATAGGAACCTTTTAAAAATCTCCAAATCCAAGAAATCGGAACCCTGGTTCCGTGATAAAATCAAGAACTTGTCTCGGTTTATTTATTATTATTATTTTTTTTCTTATTTATAAACAGCTCCTAGTAAGCCATTTTTAAAAGGCTCTCACTTGCTTAAAACAAACTCGCAAACAATTTCAAAATCGCGCCCATGTTGAAAAAAACATAGAAAAGCAAGTCTCCACGTCAACCATGTGTCTCTACTCTAATATATCATCACCACATTGTTTTAATGCGTGATCAGTACGTGGATATTGTGATCGGTTAGATGGGTACATGTAACTTGCGAACTAGTACCCAGGTATGAGATCTTGCGCAGGAGAATATTGTGGTCCACACTATAAAAAACTTTTAAAAGATCAAATAGTATAAAGATAGAAATCTATTTAGCGTCCATGGCCAGTCCATGTCCATCCTTGTCATCCTTCCCAAAAAAGACAACAGGGACGAGTTGTTCAAAGCTGGGTTAATATAACCCAGGGTTAGTGCGAGATTTGCATTCAGATTTGAACGTTTAAAAAGCATTTCATTTTTAATTCTGTCTGTCTACAAGTTGATGATTGGAAGCTCTAAAAATAGCAGAGAAAATTATCCTTTTGAACACGAGAAAGAGAAACCCGGGTTAAATTTAACCCCGGGTTAAGCGCTAATCGGCTTTCGAACAACTGGGCCGAGGAGACAGTTTAAAAGGCCAAATACGGACGTTTTAACAACAAACCTGGGGACCATTATATTTGGAATTCAAATGATGCGCACTTATTGAAAGGGTTTTGCTTTTTCAACCGATAGCCCTGACGTAGCCTTTTAAGACAGTTTTGTTTAAAATAATAAAAATTGTTTGACTGCGTTGATCATGAGTCGAACGTAAAACGAGCTTATCAAAAAGGATTGATCGTAAGTAATCAAAAACAAGCTTGCTTGTAGCATTTACGTTTTTTGATCATAACAAAGAATCGAAGAAGAAGAAAAAAAGAAAACACTTAGACACTTTCTAATAAGTAAGTAAACTTTATTAAACTCGGCGTTGAATCTACTAAAGGCCGATCTGCCGAGGCCTTTGACGAATCATTAATTGACTGATTATTTAATTAAAACTAAAAATTAACTGCATGTCTAAAGAAAGGATGTCAATGTATATATATCAATGTCTTAAACGCGGCAGACATGCACCGGGACTGACTCTCACTACAATCTTTTACGAATGCTAATGTAAAAAGAATAAAACCAGATTTTGCATTTGCCGGGAGCGTTTTTAAGTTGTAGTGCAAAGAGATTTTCATAGGGATTTTCGAGTCGGGGGTGTGTTCGAGCAACTCGCTCGCTTTATAGCCATGAGGTACCAGGAATCTGATTTACATTGGTCTTTAATGTTTTTTAACTTTTGCTAACAATCTTAATCTTCTTACTCCTCTTCTCTACTCAATCCTTACTCGGCGGTGAGTGAGTAGTTCAAGGGTAGTAGCGGTTTTTATAGCCAAAACTGGACATGGTTGGGTAACTGACCGTAGGAATAAAAACAAGGTAAACTCGCGGCCCTGTGGGTAGTGTTTTGGTATTACTGAACCTACATGACTGCGATTTACAAGAAGCTTCAAAGCAATGAATAACTAAAACGCTGGTTAACAAACCCAAACAGTAACTTCAACGAGACTATGAATGAACCAAGGTCAGCTCTGACATGAAAAACACGACCACCTATGAACCATCTGACAATTAAATGGCAAGAGAACAGTATTCCTAATTAAAATGGCCATGATGGCATTAAGTAAATCCGCGAGGTAAGCAAACATTCAAGTAGAAGTCTGAAAATCACAAAATAAACACAGGAAAATACTTATGCGCACCAAATCCAAACTAACCTTGACTCACGTAATAATAGAAAAGCGAAACTTAGAAGAAATATAAATCTTAAAGATAACTATTAAAATACTTCACAGCAGTTGTAAAAGTTTTATTAAATTGACCTAAGCTGACGAGCGAGTTCTTTTGTTATAACAGCGCGGGTTCACGTTATCATTGGGTTTTAAGTGCGCTAATTTCAATCGAAATTCGCTGTTTCCAGACAAGTGGCTCGGGCTGGGAAAAATGTGCCTTTTTTAAATCTAAAAATTGATAAAGAATTAAAGGGAAGTACGAAAAATCATTATCAATTTTACTTTCCTTGACTAAAAATAAGATCACGTAAAAAAAACTAATAAATAAGCAAGGACTATGTTCCTGTCTCGTGTTTAACAAATTAAAGATCAAGAAAAGAAAGAATTGAAACATTTTCTACGTTGTCGAGAAATATACATTGGGAGGTAAATTTTTTTGAAGGTAGTAAGTATATTAATCTAGCTGCATGTTTTTTGGCCTTAAATAATGAAATGGTTCTCTTTTTATTTATTGAGTAGGGTCAAGATAAAATACCTCCACCTCATCAGGTGAGAAGCGGTAAGTCCCGGCCAGGATTGTTTGATTGTCCTGCACTGCAGCAGGAGCAGGGTAGTCCTCGCCAAGGCCTGCGTATGAGTCGTTGTTACTGGTGGCATTTGTAACAATGCCGATGTCAATACCAAAGCATGGACCCCACAATGGAGCCCTGGAAATTGCCCTGTCTGGCTTCCTCACCTCACAGACAAAGGGATCCAGTTCTTCTTTATTGCTAATTGAAAAAATAAACGCCTTGCGAGTGAAGTTCCAGCTACCACTGGACTCTAACAAACCAACAAAAGGTAAGTATTAACTTTTGAGTAAACACTGTGGTGTAGTTACTCCGTAGTGTATTTTCCTTAGTTTGAATTTTATTTATTTATTTATTTTTATTCTTGACTTTAAGTGAATTATTATAAACTAAAACAAAACAAATTTAATAAGAACCACGAGTGAAATGGAATCACACATTTTTTTAACTTTTCTATTTTTTCCTTATTTTCCTCCCTTTGTTTATTGTATTGCTATTCCTTTCAGTTAATTATGAAAATGGACAATAATAGCCTTTTAAGACAGATATACAGAGATAGAAAACGTCAATGATAATGCATTTCTTAATTGCACTGACATGTGATGTAACTAACCTTTCAGACCTTTTCCCTAGGAATGAGGGAACCAGTAAGGGATAATTGACAAAATAATTTTGGGGATAATTGAATTGTTTTAGGGAGTAATGAAAGTTCATCATGGTTCTACATTAATTATGATCGACACTTATTTTTCTCCAGTTTCCTGTTTCTTTTTTTTACCCCTTAACGCCTGTTTTCCTGTTTTTGCTCGTTATAATATACGCTTATCATTATCAGTCAGTTAAGGCCATTTTGCTCTTGGCTAGGGCCATTAAGCAGAGGGTGCTGCTTTCGCTTACGTAGGAGCCTGGGAAATGACCTTACGCTTTTCATTCTGAAGAAATGATTTTAAGAACTGATCTTGACGTCACGAATTAAGGGGCGCCTAAATGTATTTTTATTATTTAGAGTGGTTATTTGTATATAACCAAAACAAGAGTGGTTATTTACAAATAACCACATTACAGTTTTATTATTTCTAAATAACCAAATTATAAAATTGGTTATTTACAAATAACCAAAACTGAAATTTGGTTATTTAGCAAATAACCAAAAATGAAAAAGTGGTTATTTCTAAATAACCAAATGCGAGATTGGTTATTTATTAAATAACCAAAATGAGAGATTGGTTATTTATCAAATAACCAAAATGCGAAATTGGTTATTTATTAAATAACCAAAATGCAGGCAGAATGGAAAATTGGTTATTTATAGACAAACCGGACAATTGGTTATTTAGTAAATAAACAAACATGGACGATTAAGAATCCAAAACTGTGCAAAAATGGTTATTTAATACAGAAATGGTTATTTACCTAATTTGGTCTTAGCAAGTGGCCACGTGGTCCATTTTCCCGCTCATTTCCCATAACGACTTGCAGACTGCTATTTCCCACATGGCTTCTTCCAAAAACATAGCGCGGTTAAATGCAGAAATAGCTCCGAGCTGCTTTGAATTAGCTACTGACCGATCCAAATCTGATACATGCCAGTACAGACTGTTCACACTTCACAGTCCCTATTTTTCCGTAAGATCGCCGAGATCGAGCATTTTGCGTTACGGGCAGCCATCTTGGATGAATGTCAAAACTACTTAGGGGGCGAGGGGCGGTTTGGAGGGAAGCGAGAAAAATAGTCCCTGAGTAGTTTGGACGCTCATCCAAGATGGTTGCCCTTGATGCAAAGCCTATTGCGACAGGATTCTCTAATCATCCTGATAATGTAGAATTCTGTAGGTACTTTTGATCATTGGTCAAGCCAATCTTTGCCCAAAGAGATCTCAGGAGCAGGAAAGTAGCATTTTCCTGCGTATTAATTTACTGATAATGTCCCGAGGAAAACGCTGGAATAGGAGTTCGGAGACCCTAAATTTAAAAATTTTCTGGAGGAGCAAGCCCCCAGATCCACAAGGTTGGGTCGTCTTCGGCGCTACAACTTTCCTTCCCACTTGCGTGCGAAAGGTTTATTAGAAAATACATCATTATAGGAGCTCTAAAGTGGAACGGATTATAATAGAAATTATGATAACTCGAAAGAACAGAGGGGAGCCAACCTTAATTCTCCAGTCAGCAAATGATGTGACCAATAAAATTGTACAAGAAATCGAAAAGAGAGACACTTTATTTGGTATTTCATTCAGTTTTCAGTACGAAGTACAGAATTGAACCTAGGGATCAAACGATTTTCGCGGGATCAGGGATCAGGATTATTTGCAACAATTTTGGATCAGGTATCAAAAATTTTATCGCCAAAATGTGAGATCAGTGGATAAAATATATACCTCGTTAAGACCCTGTTTCATAACAAAACAATGTAAAATACGATACGTTTCACGGAAATGCAAAATTTTTTTTGAATGTGTGTAATGTCTGAAGACTAAAGGACAAGGGAACAAATTAATCAGAAATGAATATTGTGACGGCCCAACAATTCGTTGGATAATCTCTGGACTATCATGAAAACCAACTGAAGTAGATGACGGTAAATGAAGACTAATGGTGGTAGATGTAGGCGTATGAAGGTAAAGGAAGGCTAATGAATGCAGGTGGATAAAGGCTACTGGGGGTAGATGAAGGCTAATGGAGGAAGATGACGGTAGATGAAGGTGAAAGAAGGCAAAGGTAAATGAAGGCCTGTGTAGGTGGATGAAAATTAATGACGAAGGATGGGTGTGAATGAAGGTAAATGAATTAGAATGAAGGTGAATTAAAAAAAGGGAACGTAAATGAAGATTAATGAAAGCGAATGAAGATGTACGGAGGAAAATAAAAGTAAATGAAGGAAAATAAGGGTGGAAGAAGGTAAATGAAAGAGAAAAGAGGAAAGTGAAGGAAGTGGAAGAAGCCATGTTGGAAATAGCAGTCTGCAAGTTGTTATGGAAATGAGCGGGAAAATGGGCCACGTGGCCACTTGCTAAGACCAAATTAGGTAAATAACCATTTCTGTATTAAATAACCATTTTTGCACAGTTTTGGATTTTTAATTGTCCATGTTTGTTTATTTATTTTGAACCAATTGTCCAGTTTGTCTATAAATAACCAATTTTCCATTTTGCCTGCATTTTGGTTATTTATTTCGCATTTTAGTTATTTAATAAATAACCAATCTCGCATTTTGGTTATTTGATAAATAACTAATCTCGCATTTTGGTTATTTAATAAATAACCAATCTCGCATTTGGTTATTTGATAAATAACCAATCTCGCATTTTGGTTATTTAATAAATAACCAATCTCGCATTTGGTTATTTAGAAATAACCACTTTTTCATTTTTGGTTATTTGCTAAATAACCAAATTTATATTTTGGTTATTTAGAAATAATAAAACTGTGATGTGGTTATTTGTAAATAACCACCCTTGTTTTGGTTATATACAAATAACCACTCTAAATAATAAAAATCCATTTGGCGCCCCATAATATTTTGGGGCCCCATACTTTTCAGCTACAGTTATACCTTCTTTATTTTTAACATGAATGTAACTAAAAAAATTTGTGGCAAATATTTTTTTTCTTTCCCACAAAAGGTGCGGGGAAAGCGACAAGTTTTTCTCCCAGCACTTCCCACTGCGTGTTCCCTGTCTTTTAGAAATAACGTTCTTACAACGTTTAGGGATAAGGGATATCTCCTCTTAGATTTACAAGGATAAGGATAAGAACCCCCTCCCCTTCAGGGCCTCATTAAACCGATTCCGGGATCATAACGAGTTTGATACCTGTTTTGTGTAGAAATGATTACAGCTGCAGTAGGTATTAAACTAGATTCAATTTACTAAACTTCAACTTGACTCATTGGAGGGTTGGGGGGAGGGGGAGTGGGGTACTCCCATATTTAGTATCATTAAAGCGACTTAATGAAGACTTCTTCGGCGTTTGTTTACATCCGCTCTTTTCTCCGCGTGTGACTGACAATTAATTTACGAAAAGGCCTTCTGATCACGCAGGGTATGTGTTGCCTTTAAATTCTTAGTTTGTCTTTTTTGCCTTGAATTGGGTCTCATTTTGTAGGTTTGCGCCTTAAATAAGGTATCAGTTTTCGTTTGTTTCATCCTCAAATACGGTCAGTACTTCAGGCCCTCGGAGACAAACACCTATCCGAAACTTATGGGGGTACCCCACCTAGAACTTCACACACACTGACTTGATCGAAAAAACTAAAAGTGTAAACAACAAAAGCAAAATATGTAACTAGACACAATAGCCAATGGAGATGGATTCCTCGAAGTTATAAATTTTAGCCGTAGAAATAAATAAATAAAATAATAACAAAATAATAAAGCATTTCTTTTCATCCCGTAATAATCCCATGAAAATAAGAACACATGATGTCGACGTGTTTGACTTGATCGTTTAACAAGGTACAAGAATTGACATACCAACAACACTCGTCACAATAGCTGGGACAGGAGTGGTATTTTCTACCCCCTTAATGTTGGATTTTACGCGTTGGAATGACAGAAGCAAGAAAAAAACAACACTGGGAGGGAAGGAGCACATTTTTTTTGTCAGGAAATGGGTACAGCAGGGGGGTGTCCCATCGTAATGTGGCGAGGATTGTAGGCAAACATTAGGTATAACGGCGGGGCTCTCGTGCTCGCGAAACACCCGCAGCCGGGCACTATGGATAATAAAATTTGGTTATCTATGCATTCAAGAAATTTTAATTGTGACAAAACTTCCGTCCTTAGGACCGCCCTTTCATATTAGCGCATGTAAAATGTCACACTCACTAGCGTTAATCCAAGGTATATTCGATTTGTGATTAACTTGATATTAGACATCCACTTGTCAAAATAGGGTATCCGCTAACAACAGTCCATATCGAAGCCTCAGGTTTACAGCTTTCTTCAAAGGCATTACTTGAAAGATCAAAGGAGAGCTTCGTTTTTGGCCCTCGCTAAATCTACATGCATGTTACCTTAGTAAGTGCCACTTAAGAAATAAGAATTGGACTTAAATGAAAGTATTAATAACTCTGTAATCAGACATGGCCTACTGATGCTGAAGAAGGCTGCGGGTAAAGATGACATGTCTAATATCGTTCATGACAGAAAACATTTGATTACTAACTTTCCATTCGACGGGTATCCCGTCAGGTAAATATAAAGGATTTCACCGCAAAAATTGCTGTGTTATCATGTTATTGATAATACGGTAGTTTACACTTTTTTGCACGGGTATAGTCGGGTACACAGGAAACTAAAATGTGACGCCCACAGGCATTTTTGTCTGATTTTTGGCGACATAGGTATTCGTACTAGCTTGAGTACGCTGATTTTGAAAATCATTGTTGCCAAACCCAGATCTTGTGCTAAGGTGGAGTTTGGGGATTTTCAATATGACGTCATTGTCCAAATGGGGGAAGGAGGCGGGGGGGAAGGGTTTCTTTCCTTAAACAATTCCAATTTGAAAAGAGCGTTATTAGTGTTTTAAAAATTACCTTTCTAAGAATTTTTGACTGTTTTTACGCTGCTTATACAGTCAACTCCCGATAACTCGAACCTTCAAGGGAAATCGAAAAAAGGTTCGAGTTAACGGGAGTTCGAGTTACCGGGAATTCGAAGAAAATAGCCGAGAGTAAGGTAAAAAACAGTTTTTACTGCACAGTGAACAGTTTAATCACATTTAATTGTAGAAATGGCAAGTGAAAATTAAAAGGTACTTCTAGATTATAAATCAGAACGTAACGTAACAAAACATCGCCTAAAAAGAGCATGCGTTTTCTGACTGTTTTGAGGAGAAAAGCTGCTTCACGTTAGCCTGTGACAATCAACATCAGTCCACTAGTAAACTATCCTCCTACAACACGTCAATAGGAAATCCAAAATTCAATGTTTCGGACGCCCGTAGACGGCGTTTTTCCCGACTTTTTAAGGGCTCAAAACATGGTTCGAGTTATCGAGGGTAAAATTATATAGAAAATAACCTGAGGGGAACGAAAATTGGTCCGAGTTAGCGGGAGTTTGAGTTATCGAGGGTTCGAGTTACCGAGGGTAAAATTACAGTGAATGTATGACGGAAATCCAGGGAAATCGATTTTGGTTCCAGTTAGCGCGAGGTTCGAGTTAGCGAGGGTTCGAATTACGGGAGTCGACTGTATTAACATACAGCCATCTCGTGACACTTGACCACGCCCTCTTATAGAAAAATCACCTTATCACTTATATATTTGTCACATTATTTTTTTTTGTAATGTACTTAGGAATACATATACAACTTTTTGTTTTTCTTGTGCAATGTTGAATCTTAGTAATTTCACAATTCACTTTGTCTTTCTCGGCCTCTTGGTGGTGGCTTACAACTATAGGTTGAAATTACTTGAAATTGTCAAATCAAACATGACAGAACATTGTTCTTTCTTAGTCCATAAAATCTTTTAATCTCTTTAAAAATATTGAGCTAATAGCGGAGCTCCACGCGCGCGCCAAGCGCGTCCGTGGGCGGAGCCCCATAGCTAAGTAAATCTACCCATTCCAGAAAATTTGGTAATCACGTGACCGTACACCGACCGACCGCCCGCCGACCGTCCGTCCGCACCACAGGAAAACCAGTGTTTACTCTCACACTTTTAGCTAGTTTGGGAGCCCAAGAGAAAACTAATTGCACATCAATGTTGTGATCAATTGACAGCTATCAAAACAGGGCATCCGCTGACCAGTATCACCTGACCGTACTGCGGGCTCAAGTGTCGACCCATCGAGGTCGAGTATTTTTTGAAGTTATCCGCTGACAAATTACCAGTTTCACATGATCGCAGGCTCAAGTTTATTTTTTCCAAGGATTCATATCAACTATGTTGTGTTTATGTCACTTTTTCATGGCCCCTCCAACAGCACTATTAAAGCACAGCTATATTTGGGATTTATGATTTCAAACTGACCTCGTAGATCGAAAATTCATCCCTTGGTTTTTTGTTTCAAAGCAAATGGCTATGCTGTGGTTTTATTTAATTATAACCTAGGTTTAAATTTTGCTTCCCTTTGTTTGGGGGTACGGTAATATGAATACTCACCAATGGTAATATGAGTACTCACCAAAGAGGCTCTGCCCCAGGGACCAACCCTTTACCCTTTGTATGTACCATTTTAGACAGAAAAGGTACCCTTTTGTATACCCTCTTGTGACAAATGGTACCCCTTTCACATACCTAATTTTGAACGCTGCATCCCTTTTTAACTGCTGTAAATACACCATCTTTACAAAAACAGGTTTTCTTGTCTCTCACATCCATAAAATGCATCTGTGACTGATCTCATTTTGGTCCCTTTCATATATACTTCAACTATAAAACCCCTTCCCTTTCATGTACCTGAAGCCTGAAAAAGGCTTCAGGCTCTGTTTAGGCCATTATAGTACCCCCTCCTCCTGCACCGAGAACAGTACTTGATACAGCGATATTGTATGGTATGAATTGCACCAAACGTTTCGTGCCCATGAAGAGGTACTTTGATTATTTTACGACATTTTTCTTCAAAAGGGAGGGGTTTGGGATCTCATTCTTAGGGGGCGGGGGTTAATTGAGGATCTGCAGTGTGTGAGAATGTTGCATTCAATGCCATCCAATGGTTTTGATTCAGGAAAGGGTCGTCAGGGGTATTTCGCAGAAAGACAAATGGCCACTGTACGACTTTTGAAGCAGTTACTGATTAGGGCGAGGAAAATGAGTGAATTAGGTTCCATTAGGGTCATTATACTTGTCTATACTGGGCAAACTGACCTGAAACAAATTGTTTCACAAAATAATAAAATGATATTATTTATCAAAGGAAATAGAAGAAGTTTGCACACAAGCTACTTGACTACTTCGATGTATGTTATCTATCATGGAAAAGTAGTTAATTGCTTTGTGGGCTAGACTCAGTATAGATTCGCTTGAGTTCCAAATATGGCTGTACATGTGCTTTGAGAGTTTTTGTCCCGATTGGCTTTTTTCAACTGCTGTTGGAGCACATTTTGTTTCCTACGGATAATTGTTTAGTAAAACGCAAAAAGGTGAAAAACGTCATGAAGTTATTACCTCCGTATTATTTCAAGCACCTCATGAGCATATAGTTCAAGTAAAGTAACGCCGTTATCGGTTAAGTTTGTGTCGACGGTTCTCTATTATCGATCATCGGCCATATTGGATTTTTATGGAGGTTTCCGCTGACAACTCGTTCCCAGACTTCCGTTCCCCGTTCCCCGCTCCCCGCTCCCCGTTCCCCGTTTTAGTAACATCCAATTTTTATACTCTGATTGGTCAAAATTTGACAGGTGAGGTCATGCGGAAAAATTATGCAGCATCTTGAAAGTTGTTTACTTTGACAGCTGAAGCTGACAGAGTTTTGTGTCAACTGTCTTTTTCCTCTGGATGTACAAAATGAAATACAGCTGCTATCAAGAGTCTTCTTTTATTCATGGCTGGTTTGTTTACTGGGTTTTTGGTTAAGAAATGCGTCGCTTGTCAAAATTCGGTAATTCGATTTCGGATGGCATCATTTTGCTTAATGCGTAAGAGGGTTTCAAAGGCTCAAGCAACTGTGGCCTTCCTTGATAGCTTTCAGGAACTGAATGTCGAATGGTAAGCCTAAGAAATTGTTGTATTTGATGTTTGTTTTTGTTATATCTAATTTCATGAAGTCTTGCACAGTTCACGCTGACAGTTTATGCGGCAAGTTTATGCACGTTTGTAGGATTTGAGTCAATGATCTGACCTAGTATCAGTACAGAACTTTAAAAGCCTTCAGATATATTTGCTCACCACAAATAGAAAGAAAACGTTCCGAAGAATATTTAGTTATACATTTGGCTGTAGAAAGAAAACTTTGAGCGATTTTCTTGCTTCGAGGAGTTCACCTTCGAAAACAGTAAACACCGCGCCCGGAAGCAGGCTTAAGCTTTACGCTTAAAGACTCAGGATCAGGGGCACCCAACGGCAATTTTCGCGAAAATATCTGTTCGGAAGACGTTTTGAGATCTAGAATTTTCGGAGCATTTGTTGTAAAATTTCTTGCTTGCCTGCCTCTCCTAGGATTTTCGAACATCTTACAAAATGGTATAATTACCCATTTTTGACGGGTTTTGACCCTAAAAAAGGCCACCTAGAATTTTTGGGAGCCTTTTCCTGGCTGAAATTTTCGATAAGGTAAGTTTTGATCCCTATAATTTTCGGGTCATTAGACTTTCAGCTAGGAAATCCGAACAGATGAAAAGTTTTTAGAGGATAAAAATATGCCTATATCTACCGTTTGAATCAGCAAAAAACGTTCAACAATGCTATGTTAAGTGGTTTTGAACTATATCCTCGTTGGGTGCCCCTGCAGGATTTTAGAGACATTTTGATACTTGTCTTCGTGAATGAAAATTGTTGTCTCTGTAAATGTTTCACGGAATTATATCTCTTTTTTTGATTGTTAGTAGTCTCTCTTAGCTTGCAATTTTAATCGCCTGTCCGTGCCGTTTGTTTTCATCGTTCATGACCATCGCTTGCAGGAGTACTCAAATATGTCGCGCGTATCAAACGCTTTATAAGATTGCACATCGTTATAACTGAGACCATTAAATGACAAAACAAATAATAATAAATTCGCTATTATGTTGAAGGGTAACTCTGATCTGTTAAAGTTCATTCAAACACTCGACCACACTGACAGCTCGCACTATAGAAAAGAGAACCAGCTGGCCGTATGGGTGATTTTGGAAATTTTTGAACGGTTTGGCTTAAAGCCCACGATTGATCGTCCTGAATATTGACTGAGTGCAATTTGTCTTGAAAAATTGTGAAATACCGCATTCTGTCCGAGGTCTGTATGATAAATAGTACTGTTTCACCTCAAATGTGATGTATAAAAATTATAAAAGGTTGGTTTAAACACCCCCAGATTTGTTGGCAAGAATTTGTAAAGTAAACCTGTCGAAAGCAAAAAAATTTGCCGTGATTTGTTTTGCAAGAATTTGTTTTCGAGGCCTAATCTACTGTGACCTTGAATGTGATCGTAGATGTTTGCTATTTTTTGGGTGTACATATAAGGTTATCAATTCGATTTAAGATGTTTCACTCTAAAATAACTTAGCCTTTCTCTCAAAAGTCACATGAATGTGCCCTTAAGTTAACTGATTTGTGGATTAAAAGTTTATGGTTTGATTTAAATTAAAAATTTATTAAAATTGGAGCTTCGATTTTAGCCCTGGCTAAATCTATACATTATTTTTTTTTTATAAGCGTTAAAGAGTTATAACAATGTTTGACGCAGCAGTTAGCGTCGACCTTAGTGCATCCACATTGCCCAGTACACACGAAATGTGACCTTCCGCATTTACCGAGAAGAGTTGCGCAGCCAGTGGTGCATCAAAATGAAACCAAGCCAACGAAGCCTCCGAGTTTGAATTGAGGGTCATAAAGGCAGGGACCAGTAGATCTTCAGCTTGCCCCCAGCCTGTCTCCTTTCGGTTCGGAAGCACTGGTTTCGGGAACGTATGCCTGACGCCAAACAAAAGTATAAAAACCGTATACCACTTCTGTTCAATAGGTTCTGTAAATACCGGGACACTTTTGCCTCAGGAATTACAAGGGCAGTTCTTTCAGCAGGCCTCAAGCTTGCTAAATGCTTTGTTTTATCTGGGCCTCTTTGCTAACCGGTTACCTGTGTTTTGAGGAAAGTGTCCTTTCCGTCTCGTAAAGAATCGTTGATGTCAATGTTATCAGCTGTGAACTGCATGAAGTTGTCGGCGTTTAGATCAGTTAGGACAACGGTGCCGTTTATCTCATTCAAGATCAGAGTCTGTGCCTTGCGCTAGTGAGGTGTCCACCTTGCGGATTTGCCTGTCGTATCTGTATATGGACCGCCTTGTGCAATAGATCTACTAACAGCGTTGAACGTGTCGCTCGATGAAGGATACTACCTAGGGCGATGTGTTTCGGCATCCACTTGACTCCATCACTAGGAGCGTACATAATACCGTGTATGATGCTCAAGACACTAGTGTGATGGCTTTGGTCGTTGCCGTCACTATCACTATCTTCTTGTCGCTCACAGTGAGGCATCATTATCAGTGTCATTACTCTGGTAGACACTCTCTGAAATGATCTCATGACAATAATTGCCTGAAGCAAATAGTGGTTGTCTCTGTAAAAATTTTCCGTATGAATGCTGGCGAATTCGAACAAGTCTCCAACTTTTCTCATGATGCCTTCCTGTTGATAAATGACTGCGGTATTTTTGTATTGGTTTTTTGGGCTAGATTATTATATCCCGGCCATACGTCAGATAGCTGGAGTATTTGGTTACGCTCTGCAGTATAGTGGCCAAGCTCAAAGAAGATAAAATCATAACGATGCCTTAATTTGACATTCCTCTTTCTTTTTGCCAGTCTGGTACTAAGCACTCAGACACTTCTTGAGATTCCTTCCCTTATGCAGCAATGAGATCGCTGACCTCAGCAAGGCGGAATTTTTATTGAATTATCCAGATTAGCCTGAATTTCATGCGATTACTTCGAGTCCTTTTTACTCTCTCAGCAACGTCTAAATCGACCGGCCCCTAATGCCGACCAGTGACATCACTACCCGAAAATCGCGTAGTGTTTGATTGGTTGATTCGTGTCCAAACATTCGCATAATTATGTATAATTATGAGAAATTTTAGAGGGATTGCCGGATCGCTTGCCTGACATGCTTGGGTGGAGTTGAAAAAATTTGAGGATCTTTATCGTAAACAGCAAAATTGGCCTTAACTTGTCTTCGAAACTATGAACTGTTATGTTAAACTACGAATGAAGAATCATTGCAGAGAGTCGGTAGGTTTTCCTTTTAGAGCCACTTTGAGGTTTCGGCAGTGACTTTGTCTTGTGCGAAGTTTTCTGGGATTTAAGTCTTGTCATTTCCACCGTCAACTGATTCAAATGATTCTGTCTAACTTTTCTTTCTTGTTTTTTTTTTCTTCTTTGTTAAGGACCAAATAGCTTCTTTTAAATTAAAGCAAATTTTTGTATTTTTGAAGTGTTCCTTTTGTGTAATTAAGCTTATTTCATCTGCGTGTTTGCGATCGAGTTTGAGTATTGAATTAAACTTACAACAGATTCGTTTAGAGCACCGCATTCAGTTGACAGTTTGAATTAAGAGCAAAAAGAGTAAAGCAATTCTGTATCATGTAGACATTTCCAGACGATATTTCTTTGTTTGCCAGTTGAAAATCGTGTTTTACTTTTTGCATAAATTAAAGCAAAAAAAGTAGTGATGTCAGATTCGGTCGATTCAGACGTTACTGAGGGAGTAAAAACGACTCGAATAATCGTTTGAAATTCAGGCTATTAAAACATTCATATAAGATAATTCAATTGCTGGAATTGAATTGCTTACGTTGAATAATGTAACTGATATGAGCGACTCTCGGGGTTTTGATTTTTGGCAAAGTACAGAAGGACTCCATTGTACAGGTGCGACACTTCTCCTAGTACTGCGTGCCATTTGCTGTTTTAATGAAGTGGAGGCCGCCTCGTTGTTGAAACAAATACTTTTCTCTGCGTTTGGGGGGATTATTTAATAGCTTTTCCTTCAAAAGCTCAATTTTCACTTTGTTTATGAGGTCACGATAACAAATTTCTGAGCGATTGTAGACAGCATGAATCAGAAATAGTTTCATCAGGAGTGGTTACATCTCTTACGATTCCTCTTTTTATTGCTTGCCTCTTTATTTTGTTCATCACAAACAGTTTTCCGCGCCTTTGCGCTTCTAGCAGCTTTGCGCATCTCTTGTCGGTCCATGTGGAAAGCCACTCCTCAGTGTCTGTACTGATAGAATCGCTGCAGCTCCTTTTCTTTTTAGATGTCTCCATGCACCTACATGTTATAAAGCAGTCAGGCTATCCTACAATTAGAACCTACTTGAATTTCGAAGTTGTCTTGGTCTTGTAACTTATTTAGTGAGAGGAAAAGCGCAGGAATGGGAAGGTTTTACAATTGCCAAGAGCTCGTGCAATCAAATAATGGCTTATTTTAATATACTTTTTAATTTTCTCAATTATAAAATTATCACGATAAATATCACATCTAACAGCCATAATTGTGTGAATTTTACATCAAAGGGTGTGCTCAATTGTCATGTGACGCCTCGAAATTCTCAGAAACAGCGTTTCATAAATTCTCTAAATGGTCTTTAAAATTGAAACCATTTCTGGATCTATTAAATTTTATAATTAGGGAAGGAAAGAAAACTTCTTATTTGGACAGTGATGTCATAATGAAATGCCCCAAAACTCCACCTTAACAAAAGCTTGAGATTGGCAACGGTAATTTTCGAAATCAGCGTACTCGAGTTAGTAAGAATAGCTATGTTACTAAAAATCACACAAAAATGCCCGTGGATGTCACAGTTTAGCGGCCTGTGTAGCAGACTAGTAAACTTTGAGTCAATACTATCATGGTCCATGTATTTTCTCGCCAGGAACCAGGAGGATAGATATTCAACATGTCCGCAATTTTACAGAATCGCTGATACGTAACAACCAGCCTCCCTAGTTCTTACAGCAGTAAAAATAGTTAAGAAGACTGGTCTGGCTCAACTTAACGTTTTATTGCTATTTGCTTTTAAACTGAGCAAGCAATTTTCTTACCCCAAGGAATGTCCGTGTAACCTCCAAAAACGTATTTACCCTTTTTTATTATGGTAACTGTGTCTCTTTTTCCGTCGCAGCGTCTATGAAACTGTTTATCGACATCCCAGCCGTGCCATGTAGCCCGCCAGCACAGTAGCCAGTGAGAATTGTACCCAACTACAGGCTGCAGAAATTTTCCCAGATGGTACAAATAAGAAGAATTTGTTTTCAATATGTTTGAGTCCATGAACGCTAAAAATGAGAGGAGAGTAACGTAAAGACCTTAAAGATTGCAAAAAGAAGTGGTTTCTTGTGTTTTACAGGTTTTATCGCTGCTGTAGCTACCTGGTGTCTTTAAAAATGGTACAAGAAGGACTGACTAAAAACCATTATTGGTCCCAACGTCAGCTTCTTCCCCGTTGACCCTGAGACACAAAGCTTCATTGGGGCGGGGGGAGACATGGGGTGCTTTTTTACTTACACTATTCACGTGAATCGATTGTACCGGCAAGCTCTAAGTTGAAGGCATATGACGTTGGTGTTCAGCCACCGAAATGAGACCAGCATTAAAAGCTACTGATAAAAATAATACTCATTTAAACACAAAATCAAACATACAAACAGTCATGGTCCAAAATGCTAGGCAGTTTAATTTCAAAGGCTGCAACGTTAATTTGTAGACGGAAAATGACGCTTTTCAACTTGGAATGCAACAATGTTAAGCGAAAATGTTGCCTGTATTACTTGACCTTAAAGATCATGTCGAAACCTCATATTCTTATAAAATTGAAACCTAAGGAATTCCACAAACCTTTCTAGTTTGATTTTTTTCTTCAAAATAGCTATCAAGGAAAAAGGGAAAATATCCGCGATACCGACGATGACGATAATGACAATGATTTCATCATATGACAGACCCTGATAACACAGCGGCCTTTTTTATCAGAGGAATCTGCAACCTCAATGTACAGAAGATTTCTTTTTTTGACAACAAATTAACAACAATAATACATAGCAGAAAGTAAAAGAATCAAGAAGTAAATAAATATGTCAGTAAGTAACAAAACAAATTACAATAAAAATAAAAAGTATTGGAAAAAAAAACTGTCAGTTGCCACACATATTTAATATTGTTTGCCACAATCTTCAATGCGATATTGCTCAAAAAGCTTACGTAAAAATTCGTCTAAATTAGGTTTCGTTACAATGTTCTTGCAAGTATAAAGGTATTTCTTTTGTAGTAAAACCAATAGACGAAGTTTGCGTTCACTGTGCGTTGAGTTGAAATTGGCATTTGCATTGGAAGGGAGTCATCGAACGTGTTAAATAAAATTTGCTTGTTTGAAAGTTGTACGTTCTCTTTGTGATATTCATTAAACCACCTTAAAGTTTTGGAAAAGAATTCCTTTGACTCTTGACAACATAAAAAGGTGTGTTCAATTGAATCTGGATTAAGGCAGAAAGGAAATTTATCATCGGAGGCTAATTTATATTTCAGTAGTTCTTTCTTTGTCGTGATTATTCTGTGCACAACCTTAAAGGTGAATTGTCTAAGCTTATTATCTTTCGAGGGCTTGTATGTATTCAAAAAACAATCACTTCAATTTGGAAGTTCTGAAAAGCTTTTTTTCCAAGCCCCTACTGCAGAGGTTTCTGGAACAAGCTTCTCGATGGACAGACTGTAATAATTTTTACAGCGGAATTTGGTTAAGACTATTGTTCTATCTTCTATTGACAGTACTCTGAAGTTGCTCCAAGCAGATCAGGAACCGTGGAACCAAATGCCTTTCGATTCAAATCCGGAGGAATGGCAGTAATTAATTGAAAATAGTGCAAATAGTTAGCTTTGATTTTAAATCTATTTTGAAATTCTTCGAAGGTTAGAAATTTACCATTTGAGTTCATTAAATCGCTAATAAAAGTAACACCCTGATCAAACCATTGTTTCTAGAAGACACTATTCCTTTCTATTGTAATTCTGCTGTTATTCCAAAGAATGAGGTCACTGTTTTTATCGTATTCTGAGAATTTCGTTGGTTCTTGGAAATAATCTAATAACTCACGGTAGAATAAAGGTAGATTGTTGTCAAGAGTTGCAGTATTGTAGTTGCACTTAACAAGGAAGGGCAGGCCGCCATATTTGTCGAAATAGAAATTCGGTATTGCCTTCCAATTATCATCATAGTTGCTAATCAGTCTAGCTATCCAGGCTAGTCGCAAAGATTTAACCATAATTTCAAAATTTATAAAGTTAAGGCCACCATTTTCAAGTGGCTGGCACACAACATTTCGCTTAATTTTATCTTCCTTATTTTTCCACAAAAACGAGAACAGGGGGCTTTGAGCCGCGCCTGTTACTGCATCAGGGACAGTCATTAGTGAAGCAGTGTAGATTAACTGAGAGGCACCAAGCGTTTTGGCTAGAACTGATTTGCCAAAAAGCGTAAGGTCACGCGTTTGCCAGAGGTTCAGTTTAGTTTTCATTTTACCAATCTTGCTGAAGAAGTTGGTATCGTTGTTCTTGTCTGCGTTGTACGACAAATGCGCCCCGAGTATTTTAATGGGGTATTTTATGCTGTGAAATTCCAATATTTTTTTTTTTTTTTTATGTTTTGAGGAGCCAATCCACATTGCTTTGGTTTTTTTCTTATTTAGACGTAAACCAGATATGCTGCCGAAACTTCCGATGATCTGTAACGAGAATGTACAGAAGATATTTACCTGTGCAATTAAAGCCGTTCCAGAAATAACCTGGCTCTCTGCAGATACATAGGAAGGATCCTTTGGTGTTATGGCATACGGAGCTGCTGTTACAGTTGTGTTTTCCTGTTGCACATTCGTTTGCGTCTGAAAAACAGGAGGCGTGACTATTGGATTCTATTCAGTTTGCCTTTTTTCTAAATAGTCGTAGCCCATCAGTGGACTACTGAGAAACAGTTTTCTCTAATCACTCCGATGATTACAGACGAAATTGATTCCAATCTGAGTCCTATTTCTAGACCTATTACCACTACTAAATGCTGTTCTAATTATGATTATAACAGTGTAATGGGACACTGCCCGGGGCCAGTGTCCGTCATATATACCTATGGTACAATAATCATGCCATGCCGCGTGAGCTCTTCGATGTTGTTGTTGCTGGACTCCAGCTATGTGATCTCCTGACTCCACTCAGTCCTATTTCCCTTATCTAACTATATAAGTATCATTATTATCATTCAAATTACTATTATCATTATTATTGTTATCATTATTATTTCTTGCTTTGTGCACTGGCTTATCTCATACCTTTGTACTTTCTAAGGGAGCGAGTCATACCCCATGAAAAAAGGACCCTTAGATTTCGACTCCTTACTCTAGACCTCTAATACTTTTCTTAAAGTCCTTTCCCTTCCTAGTGGCGTAGTTTTTTGGGGGTAATGAAACAATAATTGTTATGTCCAACTTTCCAGCCAGTTCTTCGTCACACTTGCGAATGATCCTACAACAATCTTTATCTCCCACACAGTTCTCGTGTTCCACATCCTTGGAATTTTTCTCATTCTCCTTTTCAACAATTCTCTTATCCCCTGCTACAGCAAAATCGACAATAGCGCTCTCAAATTGGATGTTCATTATGCTACAGTAGTTTAACTTCACCTTTTTTACATAAACCGACAGCCACGTGTTCGTACTACTTGTCCTTCTTTTGCACATGTTATTTCTCACATAACTTCCAACGAACTACTTTTGCAATATTGTCATGTCTCTGTTTATATACCCTTTGGGCTAACTTTTTACATTCACAGACAATGGTTTACACTCTCGCCACATTACCTACATAAGGGGGACTCGCACGGTCTTGCAGTTAACATGGTATCAGTTACATGGTTGGTCCTGAGAGCCTGTTCCTGGCCTGCACAAATAAGTGCTTCTGTTTGGATCTTCGAGTCTGCTTTTCATAACCAACTCCAAGTTTTCTTACATGTGTTGTTCCGGGTATTCCTCATAAAATTGACCATGCAGCTTTTTTTCCTTCCAACTGTCGAGTTTCAGCTCATTGTTCCAAGATGTCTTCAATAAAATTAACTGACAATTTCCTCACTTTCAATATACCTTACCCCTTACCCCTTGCAGTAAAACGTCCCAAGAATTCTTCACATACCACACAAAACTATTTTCTCGACCTCTCACACACCCCTCACAGCTTATTAGTGTGCCCGACCTCCACCCTCCCTTGATACATACAACCTATCAAGATCTCTTTTTGAATGGAAAGCACCATTCATTGTCAACACCTTTCTAGTCATTTTATCCAATATTTTCAGTTCCTCCTTTGCCCATCTTACCTGCTCCATACCTGATAAGCACTTACAGAGCGCAGGTGTGAATCGCTATAACCTTATTCTTTCCATTCAATGTTGATTTCAACATTTTAGTTTCAGCCTTCTTTTTTACTCTCTTGAATTTATTTCATCGCCTTTTCGTTTATTAAATCCGCCTCAATAATTCCCAAATATTTATACCTTCTTTCACCGCTTTCTCCCATTATCCGCCCATACAAAAGAGTTATACCCTCAAACATTACTTTCTTTCCCCTTGTCATTACTAACACAGTAGTGATAGAGGGATGAAATTAAGCCCCGTTGGTGTCGAGTAGGTGTCGAATAAGGTTGAGGTAAATCATTGATATGCATAAGGGTCGAGTACATGACGTCACCCATCGTTTTAACCTATAGGGAAAAAGTGAGCTCCTCTATGCTAATAAGTGTCTTCCTCCATATCTAATGAGCGTTCCTCTTATACAATAGGAACAGGCTTGTCTAGAATTACCCGGCAAGTAACTTGGGCCCGGTTTGCCGGAACGGCCTATTAAAAGAGAGAAGCGATCACCTAGCAACACGAGAAACGGCTTAATATGTTTCCTATTATAATTTAAGCGCTAAAAATCGGATATATGAACAAAACACACGCACACAGAAAGTGGCGCTGAGAAATCTTTATTTCAATTTTGACTGGCCATTACAAAAGCGCCAAGTCTCAGCGCTTGGTGAGCTTATGGTCTTGTTATTTTCACGCGCCGTTAGTCAGTTAATTATATGCGAGTTAAAAAGCCGACATTTGGATACAAAATGGATCCACAGTAAAAACCCCAAGGAAGAACCTTGACTTGTCATTATAAAAACACAAAAAAACAATTATTAACTTAACAAGGATCAAATGAAACACGCTACTAATAAACGCTAGCAATAAAACCAGTCAAGAGAGATAAAGCCAGATATCTGTTTTGCAGCTGAAAGTATCACTTATCTTTTTCATCGTCCCGAAGATCGTTTCCAGAAAGCACATCATCCATGTTGCCCTGTATTTCTTGCATAGCTGGAAGAAGCGGGACGGGCGAAAGATTTTGCTGCTTTTGTTGTTTTAGAAGCTCCTAAGGAATATTTTCTTGGTACCTTGCTTGGTTAAAGCCTTCTTCACTGGGCAGGAGGTTTTTTCGCAGTGGGCAATTATCTTGGGCAGTAGTTTTTAGATCAATGAGCAGATAACCAAATTAAAAGGTCTTTTTACAGCCTCTTCGCACTGATTTAAAAAAGAAATAAGTTTGCCCGGGATACATTACATCGGCTTGGCCAGAATCAAGTTTTGCAGTTTGTCTCGTGGATTCTTGAATAGCAGCAAATAATGACCGTTTAGGCTTATGCTGCGACTTCCTTTCCCCTGATGAAATAAATTCTGCACGATATAAATCTCGTTGAGATTCCGATGATGAGAACCACGGGTAAAGAGGTTCGCAATTCGCTTGTCTTTACTAGCGTCAATCATCTGATCATCAAATACGATCACATTCTGTTTGTTCACATCAAAATAGGAACCCTGCTCCAAAGCCGTAGGAATTCCCGTGATAAACTCAATGTGTGGCATGGCGACTAGTATTTCTATATACGCAGGCTGCCATTGTGAATAACACCAAACGATCCTCTCTGGGGGAAGGTAAATTACCTCTTAAGCTTGATGTAATAGAGATAGAACCAAGGCCGCTTTTCCGGACTTGATCATTCCAGCAGTCATGGCGGATGCTCAAAGCGAAACCGCTGACATTTCTGTGAAGACATCGGAACTGTTTGAAATGGGGTGAGACCAGCATTGCGGTGTTTAGACATCGCGTGCCTTTGCATGCTATCCTTTCTACTGAACGATTTTTCGCAAACGGAACAGAACCAACTCATGTCAACTCCTCAGGAACAGAATGTAGACTGAGAAAAAGGTAGAATGTTGCGGGTTTATATAGGTTTGGCAAAGCCATGAACCACATTTCTATTGCTTTCCTCCTTCACCTCCACATTTCTATTGTTAAGTTATTAACTGTTTTTTTTTTCGTTGTTGTTTTTATAATAATATGTCAAGGTTCTCTTTTGGGGTTTTTACTGTAGAGCTGAGCCAATTGGTTTGCAAATGTCGGCTTGCTAACTCGCATAATTAACTGACTAAAGGCGTGTGAAAATGACAAGACCATAAGCTCACCAAGAACTGAGAGTTAGTCGTCTCCTCGAGATAGAATACCTGAATTTTGTGCTTGAGTTTTGTTTATATCCTTTGTTTAGTCATGATAATGTAAAGAAATGATTAAAGATTTTTCAGTAACTCTCTGTAACGATAGCTTGTTCAGCAACTGGGCGCTTTCATTTTGAACGCATAATAACTTCTGCATGAGCCAATCATCAGGGTTAAAAGAGACCGGGCAATTCTAGGCAAGCCTATTGTTCCTACTGTATAAGAGAGACGTCTCTTTTGGATTCTACTCAGGGACTCTTACGCGTGAACTCGAGACAAAATAATACTGAATTTATAGCCTTAACATTACGACGATCCAGGTCTTTACTGAAATAAAATCACCTGTGCAGTTAACTCCGTTCCCCGAATACCCTGGCTTACAAGTGCACTCGAAAGATCCTTCAGTGTTATTGCAGTCTGCATTAGCGTCACAGTTGTGTTCTCCTGTTAGACACTCGTTTACCTCTGCAAATCAGATGCAGGACTAAATCATCAAAACTGATTTAGTTAACCTTTTATTTTTTAGGATTGGGTACGATCAGAAGAGAGAGGGAGCGAGAGATTTCTGGCTATACTGAAAAGCAAAAAAATTTTTGCTATATATTGAACAGGTGGGAAATTCAGAAATGACATCAAGTGTATAGACAGAGGATTCCCGAGACCTAAGGAAGCAAGATATTAGAGAATACAGAATGACTTCCTCTCTAAAGAAAAATTGCCAACAGAAGGAGGGATAAAAAGGACACGTTTCCACTCATACTCTAAAGACGGAATTGTGTACATTGGTCTGATATAATTAAATGTAATAAGCTCACCCAGCGTGAATGCGTGTTCGGACATGACAATCGTGCATGGGCACAATATAATAATACATAAAAAACTTAAATATCTCAAGGATGTATAAGGCTAAAATTGCATCCAGATACTGCAAATCACAAACTTTTATAATGCAAGAGCCTTTCCATACTTATTCAGCTTGAAAAAACAAACTACCTTGTGGCTGAACTTGGCTCTAATGCGAGATAAATGGAGTTAATTAGAAAAAGATTCATTATAAGGAAGACCGAGGTACTGTTTTCACCTGTGCAGTTAACTCCATCCCCAGAATACCCTAGCTTGCAGGTGCACTCAAAGGATCCTGTAGTGTTTTTGCAATTAGCGTTTGCATGACAGTTGTGCTTTCCTGTTTCACATTCATTTATATCTGCAAAAAAGAAGTCAGGCACTGAATGATTAGAACTGATTTCCTTTTTCTTTCAAAGCAATTATTGTGGCCTACCATAATAGCCATTTCATGCGATCAATTTTCATTTCAAAACGAGGTCAATCCTCAAACCTTTCTCCTTTGAAATTAATTTTCATATCAAAAGGCTTCGCACTCCGCCTCGTTTTAAGACAGAAGGTCGAGTCAACTCGAAAATGGCCCATTAGAATTACGATATACCTGACTTATTAAAGGAACTTTAAAATGTTCTGCGATCAGTCCTAGTAAAAGGTATTATGGAAAGTAACGAGACTTAAATCAAGGCGAATTTTGTGAAAAACCACTTTGGCGAACAGAGAAAATTGATTTGAAAGAGACGTGGCTACGAGATATCTGAGTGTTTCAATTAAGGGATTTGAAAGTGTTACCTGTACATTTATCTTCTCCATTTTCAGAATAACCTTCCTTGCAAGCACATCCGAAGGATCCTATAGTGTTATAGCACACTGAACTAGTGACGTCACAGTTGTCTTTTCCTGTGTTACACTCGTTTATGTCTGGAAATCAAGTTTTAATGCTGAATTATCAAACCGAATCAGTTCTATCAGTTATATCTATTGATTTAGAGATAGCAATGCAATGCTTTCGAGACTGGTAGTCCACAAATGAATAAATCAGTTTTTTTTAAAATAAGGCAATTGCAAGGAACACTAATTCAATTGATGGCACTTATAACAATGGTAAAATGGCAGATAAAATCAGTGGCAAATGATTATTTTAAGTTTTAAATATGGCAAGGTATGTTATTTATGACGAATGATTCCGCTAAGAATAAGAAATAACTATTTTGACGGCACGAAATACCACAGAACCTGGGTGTTAGGCCAGGTGCTATAGTTAGTTCATATTAAGTTCTTTTTTTTTTCCAATATTTTCTCCAGTTCCTCAATTTTTCAGCGATTCAATTCTGCACATGTGCGTTTTTTAATTTTCTTTTCTCTGCTTATTTGTTTGTTTGTTTGTTTTACATTGCTGTCTAGTTGTGCCTCCATGAAAGAACCTCTTAAATATTCTTAGTTAATCTATAATGCCTCCTAGCTAGATCAGCTGTTTAGCTAAAGGACGCTTGTACCTACATAAGTAGTATTGTCTTTTTTTCTGTGTGGTATAAATAAAGTTCTTGTCTTGTCTTGTCTTGTCCATACCGGGAGTAGAAAAGGCTAAGTATAAATATCGCGTGTACGTCATCTCGGCTTCTGAAACAACCTTTCTTTGGTTTTCTTAATTTTTTTGTTTATTTTAGGAGCAGCCTTTTTCGATTAACTTGTAAAGTCCCGTGGAAACGTCTTTGAGCTTGAGGCCTGGTTCCTTTCCGGATTTCCCGCCTGCACTTTTTCCCTTCGTGGATTTTTGGGCAGGCTTTCTTTTCTGGCCTCTGCCTGACCGCATTTATTTCTGTTGGCAGCTCAGTTCTGCCAGGTTTTTGAATTTTACTTTAAGAAGTTTAAACTTTAAGAAACTGTTATTTATTTTCTTGTAGGTATAAAAACCTTTGAGATATAGGCATGCGTTTATATTAAAAACAGCATTTTTTACAAAAAATGTCTATAACTTTGAAACCCTCAGACAGATTTTTCTCTAACTTCAGCAAATAAGCCTCAGAGCCCTCTAGTTTTATATCTGCAATTTTGAAGTCAGTCGTGACCGTAGAACTCGCTGCACGAATACCTGGTCAAATTTAATCTTAAAATACATGTACAACGCTAACACATTTGTGAAAGTTGACGCACAAATAGAGGAAAGCTGCCGACGGACTATCTCCTATCTGCAACGATATTCTTGCCTAAAAGTTTAGCTGCAAGAAACTGAGTAATCAGAAACCTATGGCGAATACAGTTCGCAATACAGGAAGAACAACTTTATGCTGAACGCGGGACAAGATTAAAGAACTTCCATTTGTATTTGACCTTCTCTTTTCGAAACCTATCTTAAGAGGGGAAAATATAGCGTCTACGAAAAACACTTAAAAGTTTTTAGCATCGCAGGTTTCCTTTTTGAGGAGAAATAAAGTCATCAACTCCAGTACTTCTAACCGTCCATTCTTCAGCTGCACTGAAAGCCCTTGCACTTGGTACTTTATTGAAGCTTTCTAGACTTGACATCACATTCGCACGGGAAGCCTTTGCCGCTTGGGGATAAAGGTGAAGAAAATTTGACACTCGTCATATTCTTTTCATTATTCCCAGTGGCAAACTGTCCGTGCGAGTGTGATGGCAAATCTTACAAGCTTGAATAAATTACCTAATACTTGGGCTTTCTGTGCAGCTGAAAATGCATCAGTTGAAGTATTGGGGTTGGTGGCTCTATTTCTCCTCAAGACGGGTACCTTTGGCACTAAAAACTGGTAAGAGTTTTTCGTAGATGCTATATCCTGCTTTGTTGAGATTTTTTTCGAAAAGAGAAGGACAAATACACGGTAACGTTGATAAACAGATGTTCGTTCGTTCATCTTGCTTGCATTCAGATTAAAGTTGTTCAGTCTTCTTGTATTGCGAACTGTATTCGCCATAGGTTTATGATTAGTCAGTTGTGTTGACCAGGTATTTGTGCAGCGAGTTCTACGGTCACGATTTACTTCAAAATTGCAGATACAAAACTAGAGAGAGCTCTGAGGCTTATTTGCTGAAGTTAGAGACAAATCTGTCTAAGGGTTTCGAAGTTATTGACAGTTTTTGTAAAAATACGGTTTTAAACATGTGCCGATATCTCAAAGGTTTTAATACCTAACAAGAAAATAGATAACGGTTTCTGAAAGTTCGACCATTCTTTGTATTAAGGATGCCAAAAATCATCAAATCGGTTAAATTTTTGCTGTCGAAAAACGCGATTTCAAAACCTAACCAACCCGCATATAAATAGGTTCGCGACATCACCGTCTTCACAAATGGCGGACACGCGGGAAAAAACTGGTGCCTAGTCATGAAAGCGAGGCGTTGGAGGATAAACAAAAATTGCAAATGAAGACTTTCAGTGAACTTGCAGAGTGTTTAGCACGGATTACACCTAAAGTAACTTTGTGCGGACTTCTTTTTAAATACAATTACGTGGGATGTCTTCTGCTTTTAATGTTTAGTAGCGATTTGCTGTTTGCAATCAAAAGGGACGCGTATATCTTCAAGGAAACAGGATGATTTTGTAGGTTTCCGAAGCATCAGAAGCTCGAAGAGTAGGCGATGGCTGGAGAAAAGCGGCAAACATGTTGGCCCCAACCTCACACTGAAATCGAATATGAAAGCCAGATCACTCGTTTCAGCTCCATATTATGTTACCTGCACAGTTGACACCATCCCCAGTATATCCTGTTTTGCAAGTACACGTGAAGGAACGCTTGGTGTTGGTGCAGTATGCATTATCGTGGCAGTTATGTAGTCCTGCTTTACACTCGTCTACAAATCAGCGAGTAAAAGTTAGTTATAAGAATTTCCTTGACTTAAACGTTTTCTCCTGTTGGTACAAACGACTGATATCAAAATTTATTGAGGAAACTTGATATCATTAAAATTTATTGAGGAAACGTTTTTATCAATATTGCTTCTTATTCGTTTATGCCCTGACGTTTAGTCTGAGCTCAAACAAGTTTTCCTCAGCGTTTAGCGGGATAAAAAAAATTTTTCCTGTTTGCCACGAGCGGTTCATTGCCAAGAACCCAAAAAATGTAACTAGGTAGCACCCTTATTCGTTTATGCCCTGGACGTTTAGTCTGTGTTCAGACATGTTAGTAGTCGACAAGTTTCACGTCGCTTTCATAGCCAAAAACGTTTTCGTAAAACCTTTTATTCACGTTTAGCTCTTAAAATCAAGGAAAAAGACTTTCTCCTCGCAGGATCGTGCGCGATGGATATGTTTTCAAGTCGAAATTGAAAGGACGACGTGGCTTGTGTATAGCCGTCCTTATCAGAACGACGCGTTTACGAAAGTTAATTTGGCAGGATTGTGGGACTGAAAGATGAAATAAGTATCAAGAGGATTCATATCGAAGAAAAGATTAGAGGACATTTTTCATCTATTTGCCTACGGAGTCAATGATTTATCAGACTTAGTTGTTTTGATCATATTTGAAACGATAACTGTCCTAATGACAGTAGACGCATCATGCCATTTGTTGCTTCTGTTCCTTTCTGGTTCCTGGCAGGAAAGTATACCTTGGAGAACTCTTCGATAGTTTGTCGTGTGCCGTTTTAGATATTTTTAGTAGATATCCTTTATCTTTGAAAGGTAGGACATGTGGTAATTGATTTCCCATGCGTGGTTGCTTCTTGGTTCAGATAGAACTTTGATCAGATCGAAAGCATTTTATATTTGTTCCGGTATATTTCTTTAAATACATGTTCTTTTCAAGGTTCTCATTTCCATAGTTTTTTATGAGATGTGTAGAAGCGTCGCAGCTGAAATGTCATTTTGACTATGATCTATTTATAGTGCTGTAACTATTTATTTCATGCTGGGTCTGGCCCAGGTTTATAATATTTCAGATCATTGTGTTGTGGCTATCAGTCTGTGTTTCAGAATCATCAAATGTGCCTGAAATTGATTCAACTAGCGCTGGTTAAATTGAAATAAATAAGGGGTTTTATGGGGTAATTATTTTGGGTTTTGTTTATGTCAAAACCGTATTTTAACAAAAAAATCAGATACATAGAAGCATAAAGAAGTCAGCATTCAACGTCGCAGGAAACCTTGCCATGGTCAAATCACCAAAGCGTAAATTCTCTCCAAAATCAGATTAGCGCTCGAGGTCGTATTTGATTGGGAAATTCGGACTTGAGGTTTTTCACGAAATTTTTGTCGATGGAACGACGCGAAATCGAAAACCGGAAATTTCAACGCAGATAAACCTGTCAACTACAAAATTGGGGGTTTTCCTTTCTAAGAAAAATTTAACATAAAAATTTTTTTCAGAAGCAACCGGCCATGGCAACTCACCACTGCGGGACAGATTACCGAGAGAATTTGATTTGGAAATGTTTTTTTTTGAACATCGAACAGTTGTCTTCCACGCAGATAAGCCCCTTGGTTTTCCTTTCTTTCTCTTTTTTCAGGCAGGGGCGGGGGTGCGGGGATACGAGAGAAGATTTGGAACTGTTTTTAACAGAACAGTTGTCTCGTACCCGCATGCATAACAAACAGAAAAAAGACACTGTTCACGAGAACAGTTTTACAGTCTTCTTTTCGCTTGTCCGACTAGAACGGTATAAAGGAAACCCATAAGGTCATGATTTGGGGAAGGATTTCTCGGGAGAGCGTGGGGGGGGGGGGGAGGTGAGGGTGAAGTCAGTTGTGCATTTCGCGTTCGATTGCCAAATCTAAAATCCCGGACTTTAAACTCAAATCCGGATTTCCCATGCGATCAAACGCACCTTAAGTTTCAATTGTCGGCATGAATTGAAAAAACTTGATCGAATTGAAAGGGGTTAATAACTTGAGAGAAAGGCTTCGAATTTGCATATAGTTTCATTATTTAAGGGCAAAATTTCTCGTCATCCACAACCGTTTAATATAAGCCCCCAATTTTTCCAATAACGTTCCTTCCTCAAGTCTCATGTTTGGTAACAGACTGATCACAATTTTGCACACCCTAAGTTTTCGTCTAATAACAATTTCCCATAAGGGGTTGCTACAAATTTTTTATTTTTACCCACTTCTCACAAAATGGCCAATGGACTGGAATAGTTTATCTAAAATGTACCATTAAATTCCAAGTCGGAAAATTTTGTGCGTTTTTAGAAAAAAAAACTAGCATAAACCTTTTTGGTAGCTTTCTTGATTGCTCTTTTATTCTATACACATCTAGTCCAACTTAAAGCCTTTCACCTCACGGAATTGGGGCGATTTAGCTTTCCAGAATAGGGGGAATTTAAACTGGGAAGAGTAGTGGCGAATATTGAAATTGGCGGTCGATTTTTGCCTAA